TGTGTCGGGCGCGGCGGAGCACGAGGCGCGCGAGCCGGCCAAGGAGAAGGCGCCGCCCGCGCACCGCAGCCCGGCCGACGGCCTGGCGGGCGCCGCCGACCTGGGAGTGGACGGCGCGGGCAAGGGCCGCGCGCCCGGGGAGCAGGACTGGGCCGGCCGGCCCAAGACGGTGCGCGACACGCTGCTGGCGCTGCACCAGCACGGCCACGCGGGGCCCTTCGAGAGCAAGTTCAAGAAGGAGCCGGCCCTGACTGCAGGCAGGTGGCGGGGTTTCGAGGCCGGCGGGGCCAGCGGGTCAGAAGGAGGTAGGGGCGGCTGTGGGGCCCGGGGCACGGAGCCCGAGGCGGCGCGCGTGCCGAGGGACTCGCTCGTCCACGCGCGGCCCCCCGCCTCGGCCCAGGCTCGGCAGACAGCCGACTTCCTGGTCGCCCGAGGCGGACCTGGCGGCAACGTGGTTCCCCTGCTGAACCAGCACGGCGGGGCCGAGCCCGAGCAGGCGCGCGCGGTTCTCCTGCCCCAGCACATTCCTGCGCGTAAGCGCGAGGGCAGCGGTCACATGCGCCGCCCCGGGGGGTGTCCCAGGCGGGCAGGCTCGCGTGATCCGGCTCACAGCCCCTCGCCGGGCCGGGTGCGGCCCCGGGAGCACCCCGCTAACCCCCCTCCTTTCCCGCCCTCTCCAGTGGCAAGGACGGCGCGGAAAAGGAAGCCTTCTCCAGAGCCGGAGGGCGAGGCCGGCCCCCCCAAGATGAACGGCGAGGCCCAGCCGTGGCTGTCCACCGCCGCCGAGGGCCTCAAGATCCCCATCACCCCCACGTCCTCCTTCGTGTCTCCGCCGCCCCCCACCGCCTCTCCTCATTCCAACCGGACCACGCCGCCCGAGGCGGCCCAGAACGGCCAGTCCCCCATGGCCGCCCTCATCCTCGTGGCCGACAACGCCGGGGGCAGCCACGCCGCGAAGGACGCCGGCCAGGTTCACTCCACCGCGCGGAGGAACAGCAGCAGCCCGCCCTCCCCGTCCATGAACCAAAGAAGGCTGGGTCCCCGGGACGCGGGGGGCCCAGCCGGCGCCGGGGGACTGGAGCCGGCGCACGCCGCCAGCCTCCCGGACTCCTCGCTGGCCGCCAGCGCCCCCCTGTGCTGCACGCTGTGCCACGAACGGCTGGAGGACACCCACTTCGTGCAGTGCCCGTCCGTGCCCTCGCACAAGTTCTGCTTCCCCTGCTCCAGACAGAGCATCAAACAGCAGGGCGCCAGCGGGGAGGTGTATTGCCCCAGCGGGGAGAAGTGCCCGCTCGTGGGCTCCAGCGTGCCCTGGGCCTTCATGCAGGGCGAGATCGCCACCATCCTCGCCGGAGACGTGAAGGTGAAGAAGGAGAGGGAGTCCTGACTTCCGCGCCCAGAGGAGCCCTGGCCACCGTTACCGCAAACTTCCTGAACTGTATATAGACCTCCATATATATATATATATATATATATATATAAAATATATATATCCAAGACAAGGGAAACGTAGACTTCATAAACATGGCTGTATAATTTTGATTTTTTTGAATACATTGTGTTTCTATTTTTTTTTCTTGACGACAAAAGGTATGTACTTCAAAAGGCATTTTCCTCCTCTGTTAACGTTATTGGGCCGTCTGTGCTTGACTCCCGGTGACAGTTGCTGTTCTCTGTAGGCTGTGACTTGGCTGCTCTTTTTTTTTTTTTTTTTTTTTTTTTTTAAGAGCACTTGGCAAACATGCTTCTAGCTGTATTTGTATGCACTTATTTTAAGAAAAGACAAAGAAAAAAAAGCCAAATACATTTTTCCGACCTTGTTAGATTGCCTTACTGTCTGTCATTCCCCATGGCTGGCCCTGTCAGGCTGGAGGCCAGTCTGGAGGAGAGGAGTGGAAGGGCAGGCTCTGAGGGACGTGCCCCTGGGAAGGCCGCCGCCCAGCGGGCCCTCGGGAGGGTGGGGACGTGGGGCTTTCAGCTCTCGCTGGTCAGAGGTGCTGCTGACAGGCGTGCGACACTGTTTGGGCTCTGCTTTGGTTCTGGTTTCAGTGGAGGGCAGGCGCAGCCGTGCTGAACGCCCGGGCTGTGCAGGCCCGGAGGGGTCGGGGCCAGCTCTGTTCTGTTCTGCTCTGTGTCGCTTGCCTGTCCTGTCCTTTCCGCCATTGTCGTCACCGTACCTGCGCCCGGCTGTGCTGAGTGCTCACTGCCGGGTGTGCAATGACAGTTCCAGCCCCGGGGCCGCCAGGAGCCCCGGGCGCATGCGTGGTGGGGCCACCTCGGGTGGAGGAAGCCTGCAGGCTTGCCTCGTGTGTCCGAGATGCTACGGGAGTGAAACCAGTTCTGGGGAAAAGGTGGACCCCGGGGGGCCTCTCTGTTAGCCAGCCGCCTCACACTGTTTTTGGAGGCTGGCCTTCTGTGAACCGATTTCCCAGACCGCTGTTTGTGCAGGTGAAGTGATGGTTTCTCTGATGTAAACAACAGGTCATTAGCTGTTAGCCTGGTGGACCCTCCGTGGCGCTGGTTTCTGTGGGCCTTTCCTCTGTGCTGTTTTGGTTTACCGTCAACGGAACACTGACGTGCAGTGTTTGTGATTGGGCCTGTGGTTCTGTCATGGCCTCCCCGTGTGCTGTAGTTTGTGTGTTGTTCACAGCCTGGCTTCTATTTTGATTTGGAGATTTGGGTTATCCCCAGCTTGGGATCATTTCGGGTTACCTGGCTTTGTTTTGGAGGTGGTTTCTTTAGTAGTCCAGTTACCAACCCTTGGACGCTGGCAACAGTGCACCAAACACAGCATTTCTTGTCGTGTTTTCCCCAGTGGGCCTCGCCCTCCAGGTCCCTGTCCTCGTCATTGTGGTGTTACAGACAGGCTTGCCCGATAGACCGGGCCCTCCTTCCCGGGACTCCTAGCCCCCTGGTCTCCGAGGCAGAGGCACACAGAAAAAGCCAGTTTCACTTGCCCTGAAAGAGGAGGACACAGCTGTTGGTAGTGTGAATGTGTCTCTGAGCACTTTATTATAAACTGGAATTTGACCTCATAGAAGTTACAACTAGATTAGTCATTTGACCTAGTTTGCTGTGGCCGTCTGTAATCCCAACACAGATAAGGTCTCCCAAAACAGGAATGAAGAAGCATGCTGCCGAATGGGGGAAGTCGGTCCAGCTTTGGGAAAGGCCACCTGTGGTTGCTCTGAGCTGGAAGCAAAGGAGGCGAAAGGCCTGTTTTAGGGGGGGCTGTGCCTCGGCCCGGCCTGGTGGGCTTCGGAGGCCTGGTGGCCAGTGTTGTCCTGGAGGGGGTGGACAGGGTGGGGGGAGGCCTCCTGTGGCCTGCTCTGCAGCCGTTGGCACGGGGACCTGGGTTGATCTTTTCTTGTCCTTGATGACACTGGGGGTGTTGTCCACAGCTGGGGAGAAACGTCAGATTCCCGGCACTGCCCCAGCGGTCGTTCTGATGCTCAGCATTAGGAGGGGTGTCAGTGGCCCCTCTTTTGCTTTAACCGTTTATAGAATTTAACAGCTCTAGTTAGTGTCTTTCACATGGCCTCACTGAAGTTCCGAGAGCGTACTCATGGTTTACAGCTTTTCTATTTACCTTTCCCTGGCCACCAAGTATTCTGAAAGTGTGCCACCTTTTAACCTTTGCCTTTTTTTTTTTTAAGTTGAAGGTGATACTTTTTCTATATATGATGAAACTCATGTCTACTGAAATAAGTGTAATCTTGGCTATCAACGTTATATTTTAAAACCACACTATGGAAATATCACCTGCATTCTGTCATTTGTCAGATTTACAGTACTTTTTTTTCTTTTAGCATTAAATAAAAATAAAATTGGGAGCACTGAACGTTTTCCAAGGCCTTTTTTTTTTTTCCCCAAACCATGCTTAGGGTGGCAGTCGAGTTAATAGACTGAAGGACTCGTGGGGTTGGTGGGGTTTGCAGGAGAGCAGATAAGAGCGCAGAGACGCAGCTCTTGGACAGAGAGGCTGGGGGAAAGGCCAGTGGGAGGGACGCAGATAAGATGGAGCAGAGTTCATCGGGGAAGCACTGGTTTGATTTTGGGCTGGCAGCAGAGCCTGTCTCTGCAGGAGGGGGTTGGAAGGAGCAGGCTGGGGCCTTGCGCTGTCTGTCCGACCTGGACCTGCTCTTTGAAGACATTTGTGATAACCGCCATGTTGGGCTGTAGGAAGTCCACCGCTGGGGGGAGGGCCACGTGGGGAGGGTGGGACTGGTGCCCACCCAACACAGCAGGCAGCTCCAGAGGGTGTCCTCGTCTCCTGACCCGTGGCTGGGAAGACTTCAAGGCTACGACGCACAGCAAACTCTGGGGCGGGGTCGGCCTGTGGCTTGGGAGGAGGCTGTTCTGTACACTTTTAATTTCTTTCATTAGCACACTGAATGCATTTTTCAAAAAACAGCAAACATGACTCTAACAACAAGAAGTAGACTAAGGTCAAGTTTGGTGTTCTTGGAAATGCTGGATTTAATTTTTTTTTTTGGGGGGGGGGGCCCAGTGTCCCTTGCAGAAGTCACTGAAAAATCTTAAAGGAACGGTCTCCAAAGATAGAGACCAGTGACCACATCCAGTTCTGCAGTTCAGTGGCTAGATTCCTGGTGTGGGGAGGAAAGGGTTAAAGGTCTAATTTGTCCTCTTGTTTGGTCGCTGAAGAGTGGAAGGCCCAACTTCCTGATTACGCACGCATGCACTCCCTGAGCACAACGGTGAGCGGTGAGCGTGGGTCACACGCTGGACCCGAGTCACACTCATCTGCATCCCTTCTGTTCACGGGCGGCTAGTGAAGATGCTCTTCCTGGGTCACAGACCAAGGTCAGATGGTCGGGATGGAGATCACATCCTCTCATTATCTCGGGCCCTACGTGTAGCGCATGGTTAAAACCCTTACGTGCCACTCCGTGGGCCCACAGTAGCAGAATTAAGTAGATCCCAGGCTGCCGGTCAGGCCTCCCTCCTCCTGAGCTGGGGCCAGCCTGCATCTCCAGGCAGCAGAAGGCCCTCCTCTGAGACACACAACCGTGTAGCTCAAAAGGTTACGTAAGAGGCTGGAAGGTGGAGTGACTGGGTTCGTGGATTAGACTGGATGTCTGAGTTCCCAGGTGAACTCTTTCTGGGGTGTCACGCTCGCCCCTGCTCATAGTCAAGAATGTACAGGCTGAAGGAGTAGGTCAGTGGAAGGGTGCTTGCCTGACATGCCTGAGGCCCTGAGTTCAAGTCCCAGCCCTACATAAACAAAACAAACAAACAAAACTCACCAGTGACTTTTTAACCCGGCATGGTTCCTGCCTTCATGCCAGCCTGATTTAACACTACTTCCCTTTGATTTATTTCAAAAGTGTCACAGCTTTTTAAATTTAAATGAAATTATGTTGCAGGCTGTGTGTGTGTGTGTGTGTGTCTGTGTGTGTGTGTGTGTGTGTTTAAATCACTGCATAGTGGGCCTCTTGGTGGAACTGAGAATATAAAATAATCCACACATCAGGAAAGGTATTTTAGGGCAAATATACTGTAGAGACAAATAGTGATTTTGAATTATTTAGTCATGGTTTATAAATTAGGCTGTTATTTTCTTTTGAGCCCTGGAACTTGCTTTATAGACCAGGCTGGCCTCAACTCAAAAGAGATCTGCCTCCTGCCTCCTAGGATTAACAGCATGTGACACCACACCTTGTGAAAAGTGTTCTTTTGAATGGGAAAAAAAAAAAAAAACGGTAAAATGACTATCAGCACGGTGTAAGGCTCTCCTGTGACTCCACCTTAGTATGACTGGGGAAACAGGCTGGCCTCTGGAGCCGGCACTGGCGCACAGTCAGACGGCACGCCTCCAGTGGGGAGTGGACCGTCCCAAGGTCATCCGAAACCCCTTCAGGGGGTGGTCTGTCCTCCTCCACTGGACTAGATGAGAGCAAGATGACAGGATGCCCAGCGAGAATTCAGGGCACCAGGCTCCGGCCGCAGAACCGCGGCTGTGAACTACCCAGCGCGTCCTGTGGACGGTGATGCCGCCACATTTGAATATTTCTAAATATAGTGTGCATTTTGGGCAAAATACCTGTTACATAATCTGGAGAGCTCGGCCCTTGCCCACTCTTAGCAATCAGAGTCTAAGGAAGCCGGCAGCATCATCGCAGGCGCAGATGAGTCAAGCTCTGCGGATGAGCGTGCAGGCAGCAGCCTTAGCAGACAGATATGTGGGTCACTGCGGATTCCTCTACCACTTAGAGAACGTCCTTCCTGCGGCAGCGCGGTGTCTTCTGGGCTGCACGCCTTGGCTGTCTCCAAAACAAACAGCATTTCAGCACGGCCAAGGGCCTCGGTCTAGCTTAACGTTTGGGGTACTGTTCTTTTTTTTTTTTTTAAGTGAGCCACAATGATGTTCTTACTTCATGATTTTTAAGTGCGCTCTCACGAGATCTGCAGAAAACAGTGGAGTCCAGGATCCCCTGGCTTGGACCTCATGGCTACCCTGGATTGGGCGCAGGGGCGCGGTGGGGCGCTCCACGCTGGCCAGAACCTGCTTAGCCCATCTCGTGCCACCAACAGCAATTCAGTTAGCCTCCGGGGCGATAAAAGATAAAGATTTATTGTGCCCCCACACAGCTGGAGTGGAAATTTCACAGGCAGGCAGGGTCGCCGTCGCGGTAACCCGCCCCCGTGGGGCCCGCGCCTCGAGCGGCAGCGTGGCTGGGGGTCGGGGGCCGCGCGGAGTGTGGGGCTGAGCCCCACCGGGAGCCCCCGCGCACGGCGCCGCGGCCGCCCTGACCCGGGCCGCGGGCCTGCTCACGGGCGTGCACGCGCACAAAGCTCGCGTGTGCAGGGCCGGCGGCCAGGCCCGGCCGCGGCTGCGCACAACCGCGGTTACGGGAGGCCGGGCCGGGCCCACGGGGAGCACGCGGAGCCACTCCCGCCGCGCGGAGGGCTTCCGCTCGGGGCCGCGGC